CTTGGATGTTTTCTTGCAGACATTTCATTACCCAACTAGGTAACAACATCAGAGCTAGGAGGAGGAGGAGGGGCAGTCTGTTACATATGTATGGTTTTTATTTAAAACATTTATATAGCCACCCACCTTTCCTCAAATTCTGGACGACTCAAATACTGGTATAGTTCAGCCAACAGCTTTGCAGATAAAACCCTTTGCATGGACAAGAGTTAGGCCTAGCTGAAGGTGCAGGGGCCACCTTGGGCTTGACTAGATGTTAGACTAATCCTAGCAGTTGAAGTCCACACATCTTAAAGTTCCCAAGGTTGAGAAACACTAGTGTAGAGGTTTAAAGCATCAGACTGGAAAGCGGGAGCCGGTCAGCTACAAATCATCTGGGTGACTTTGGGCCAGCCCCTCTCTCTCAGCCCTGGGAAGATGGCAATGGCAAGCTACTTCTGAAAAAATAAAACCCTTGCCAAGAAAACTTCCGAGTCTTGTCCGGGCTGTTGCCAAGAGTCAACAAAACTGACTTGGCTCCAAAGCGCAGATTGCGTGATTAATGTTACAAGACACGCAGTTGAGCCATAGCAAGATTCCCAAAGCAGCCAGCAGAGGTAGCTGTTGCACCAGGCCTGTGAAATGGACTGTTCCCGAGGACCGGATCACCAGTCCTTTTGGGAATAGCCACTGTCCATTTCTTGTTTCTCCCTTCCAAACGCACATCCTTCCAGGTGTAGGGAGTCAGCACCCTCCCCCGCCCTCCCCCCAGCCCAGAGAATGAAATATTTTGGGGAATATTAAAAGAGGCAGGCTAGAATATTTCCCCTAAAGGAGAAATGGAGACAAAAAATCTTAACAAAGGCAGAAAGCAGCCCAGGCGTGGCTTCCTAATGCTTTCTCTTTTGCCTTTGGAGCCGCCCCATTGCATTCCTCTGTCCTACTCGCTTCTCTTGCCTGCGCTTTCGTGCATCTGGGATTTGTCCCAGCTGTTCTTCATCACTGTCCAACTTAGGCTCCCAGCACAGCTGTATCTCAGCCTGAGCGTGAGTAGAGGGGCCAGGCTCCTCGTCCGACTGTAAGTCTTGGAGCTCCTCAGATCCTTCCTCTGACTCTGATGTCACTCCAGGCCCCTCCTCCTCCTCCTCCGATTCCCCAGACTCAGCTGCCGGATCCATTAGTTGGCGAGGAATCACAACACTATGTCCATTTTTCACAGTTATGACCTTTGCAGCATCCCCAGGGTCAGCTGATCAAAATTCAGACGCTTAGCAACTGGCCCATATTTATGACAGTTTCCCGGTTTCCCTTTTGCAAACCTTTTAGCAAGCAAAGCCAATGGGGGATGCCGGATTCACTTAACGTCCGTGTTATTCATTTAACAACTGCAGTGATTCACTTGACAAACATGGCAGGAAAAAATCATAAAATGGGGCAAGACTCGCTTAACAAATGTCTCACTTAGCCACCTAAAATTTGGGACTCGATTGTGGTCGTAAGTAGAGGACTACTTCTACGGTACTGGCTGCCTAAATCTTTCCCATAAGCTGTCTCTACAGAAGCCTGGAATTCAGTTTTCTTCCATTTTTCCGGCCAAAAACAGACCGTAGAGAACAATGGCTTTGTTTAATGACCTTGGTGTTTGCTTTTGACTAGTGCCTTTGCTGAATGACTGCTGCAGAAATGGGTCATAAACTCGGATCAGTGCACGACGATCCACAAGCCCTTTCTAATTAGGATCCAATCCAGTGCATCCAAGTTATATGGTTCATCAGAATGCAGCCCCGACTTTATCTGCCTTGCGTTTGTAAATGCTTCAGGAGTTTAGCCTGTACGAAATCTGCCGCAATTCTTTATTGACTTTTAAATTTCCTAACGCAGCCAATAATCAAATTAGTTTCTGCAGATTATAAAGCACACTTCAAAACATCGAAAGTTTCTATGAAGTAAACAATTAAAAGGGAAAAAAAGAAAGAAATAAAAAAACCAGACACACAATAACGGGCTGCTAATGAAGAGCGAAGCTTTAAAAGCTATTATTCCAGCGTAGAGCAAAACTATTAAAATGGAATCCAGTCAGAAATTATAGAAATATCAGCAAGGAATGGAATGTTATTGCATAGCACTAAAGATGTTATTGCGTAGCATGGAAAAAAATTTTCACGCTGGGAAAGAAATATTCTGGAGAATTCACAGCATTCTGTTTATCCTCTGGGGATTTCCCGGAAATTAATCCTTCAGAGCAGAATCAATTTGATATATTTGAGAGGGTTTCAGCTCTGCTCTTCCATAACATTGATCTAGAAGTGTTAATACCACTTTACAAGGCCTTGGTAAGGCCACACTTGGAATACTGCATCCAGTTTTGGTCACCATGATGTAAAAAAGATGTTGAGACTCTGGAAAGAGTGCAGAGAAGAGCAACAAAGATGATTAGAGGTCTGGAGGCTAAAACATACAAGGAACGGCTGCTGGAATTGGGTATGTCTAGTTCAATGAAGAGAAGGACGAGGGGGGACATGATAGCAGTATTCCAATATCTCAGGGGCTGCCCCAAAGAAGAGGGAGTCAAGCTATTCTCCAAAGCCCCTGAGGGCAGGACAAGAAGCTCTCAGAGGTAAGTGGACCGCTCTAAATTAGGGCTATTGCTTAAATGTTTACTGGTGGAAGGGGTCCTGGTTTACCCAAAATGAAATCCTTTCCCTCTTTCTCTGCCCACTCGGCTCTCCTCTTTCACCAG